TTTGACACCATTCAACAGATTTCTTTTGTGTAATTCTGTCATACCACGTTCACTAAGATGAACAAGACGCATATGCCACAATTTTGTAGTATCATCACAGGACTCAACAGAATGAACTCCACCTGCAACGGTACTCCCTAACAATCTATAAATATTTCCCGTAGTCATCTTTCCTTTCATCACAGTCAAAACACCTTTAACAATCCGAATGGTTTCCCTATCCTCATCAGCCTTAGGGATAAAACCATTCTTGTGCAAAGTGCCCAAAAAATCAAATTCTTCTTCAAATCTGGGATATGTCGAACACCATTCAACGTCCGAACAGAGCCATCATACATCTTAATTCTGATATCACCAATACCAACAATATTGCAACATCGATCATCACCCAAATAAACAGAACCAGAATTAACCGACCTGTATTTCGAAAACCATTCCTTATTTGGCGTGATGTGATAAGAACATCCAGAATCAAGAATCCACGCATCCGTCAATTGAGTCATTGAAATAGAAAGCATATCACCCTCACTGCAATCAGAATTGTCATCCTCGACCACGTTCACAGACTTGGATAAAACATCACGCTTCTCATCAGTCTGCTTTTTCAACTTCGGACAGTCTCGCTTCATATGTCCCGCCTCCTTGCACTTGTAACAGTGAATTGTCTTCTTATCCCTAGATTTGGATCTGGAAATCCGCTTTCCAGACCCTGCCTTCTCTGGCTTCCGTCCACGGTCTCGATTACCCTTGACATATAAGCTATCGGCTTGAGAGTTTTCCCCTGCATTCTGCTTCCGCTGGTTGTGAGCCAACAAGGCTGCAGTAATCTCCTCAACGTTGATAGTCTCTTTCCCATATGTAAGAGTAGTCACCATGTGTTCGTAAGAGGGAGGCAACGAACACAACAAAATCATCGCTCTGTCTTCATCCTCAATTTTTACATCAAGCTGAGCCAAATCAGAAACGATTTGATTGAAGACATTCACTTGTTGCGCCAAATCATGATCGTTCTGGATCTTCAGCCCATACAGCCGCTGCTTTAGATACAGTTTTGTCGTTAAGGATTTGGACATAAACTGACTTTCCAACTTCCTCCAAATTTCGTCTGGAGACGATAGATGCATGACGTGATACATAACCTCGTCCGCCAAGCATAATCGTATGGTTCCTGCCGCTCGTTGTTGCAATTCTTCCAAATCTTCCTCCTCCATCGACGCCGGCTTTGTAGGTCGCAAAGCCTTCAGGATCCCCTGCTGCGCCAACAGATCCTTCACCCTCGTTTGCCATAATCCGAAGTTACCCAGACCATCGAATTTCGCGACTTCGAATTTTGCTCCTGACATCTGATACCAATTGTTGATAAATCGGGCAAAGTAAACGAAAGAACACAAGAATTTTAACGAGGTTTGGCAATGTGCTTACGTCCTCGGTGCCTAGGCGGCGCTAGAAAATTTTATTCAATTCTCATAGGTTTAGGTTACATCTCTATTTATAATAGAAAACCCTGGTACATAATTACAAAATTAACTATGTACCGTACCGCGGGGGCTGCGCTCCATCCCCCAACCCACATAATTGTAACCCCCTCTACAAGACTTTCTTTGTAAGGACAGTTGATGTTCGCTTCGCTCACTCCGCTCCATCCCCTGTCCTCTTTACCGGTATATTTATGAGCCATACCTTACATTCTATTTTTTCTTAGAATTTTCCGTTAAATAAAAATTGTATAGTTGGATTTGGAATAATATGATCACAACTTAAATTTATATTCGAATTTTTAGATTTTCACTATTAGAGAAAATTTATAATCGATGGGTACCAATTTTTGGCGTTGTGGGGTTGCTTATCATTCCCCACACGTAATTAACCCCCAAAGCTTTTTTTATTACAAAAAATAATGAATTTTGGTTACACGTAGATCGATGCATCTTTTAAAATGATTTTTTCTTAAAAACTCTTTTAAAAGGCAATTTATACTTACTTAACCCGAAAGGTCAATGGGGACTCCTCACATTTTAAAACATTTTCAAAGAAAAACACTCAAGTCGTACTAAATTTTTCCCCACCCGAACGAAAAACGGTGTCGACACACCAATTCAAACTAAAATCCAAACTCAAATGGATTTTGAATTATCACCACTCGAATCACAAACAATTTCCAACTCAGTTTCAAATTTTACAGGTCAAATAAATTTTGTACATCCCAAGACTTAAAATTATCTGCTCATGTTGCTGGTCGATGATCATTGAAGATCCATTGTCTGTCACTATAGGTTTCTAAATATTTTCCATTGCAAATTGTATCAATACCAACGTCAGATAACAGTTCTTCCTCCGACAGAATAATCTTCTTGAAATTAATGTAAGAAATTATAGTTAATGGACGTAGAAAACAAATAACTTATTTACATTACAAGTGTATAGTTAAATACACATCATCCATTCATTCTATTAACGTTACAGCAGAACTTTAACGACTCCAAAATGACCATTTACCCTAAATCTCTTGCAGCTTTCAACACAAGAAGTTGATAACACAGATTCTGCTAGGTGAGAAGAGAAGCATCTCAATGCTATGAAATTTACAGGGAAAGCTAAACAAAAATGATGTCTTTCAACCAATGCCATCACCAAAGTCGCATTCATCGCCTAAACTTATCCCATCTGAAAAATGGATGCCTTAGCGCTTCCTGAGCTGTAAGCCTGTCGATAGGGTCATACCTAAGCAACCCTTGCAATAGATGAATCAGATCTCCAGCTGAGCGGCCCACATGCTGCATTATCAGGTTCTGCAATCATCGGAAACCATATTAGGAGGACAAGACCCAGAAATCGACTACCATGACAAAATTGCCATCCTGCATGAGAAGTGTCTGAAGACGGGTTAGCTTAACAACTTTGGTTTTTAAATACGCTAGGCGCATCGAGGCGCAAAAGATCCTTGGAGCCTAGGTGTAAAGCGCAAGGGCACGCCTTTCGTAGGTGTATTCTAGAGTACATTCACACTAAAATATCAAGACTCATTTACACTAGTTTCTAAAGTATTTCTACATAGAGTTAAAATTATCTTAATTTTGATAAGAAAACATGAATATATAGGACAATTATATGGTACTCGTGGAACAATAATTATATTCAATTATTTTATTTACTTTTAAATATTACAAATTAATTTTATTATCAATTTAAAATCTTATGTAACTCAAAATTATTATAAAAATTAAATTTTATATTTAATCAATTTTGTTAGTAAATATTATTTAATTTAATATTGTATTATTTTAAAATTAATTATATATATTATTACATAAATTAATTAAGAAAAACATAAAAATATTATTAAAATATTTTACTTTTGATTTAAAGCAAGCAAGCAACTAAAGAAACTCTATTGGGCTTATCATAAATAAAAACTATAAAGTTGGGCTATTGATTTGGGCTAATTAGTAGAACATGTGTTTTAACATGGGCCAAATTGGCCCATTATGGCACCCGGGCAAAAAATTTAGCCCATTAGGGCACTCCAATCATTTAATTTAGGATCTACGATAAATTGAACACTCCCCATGGAACTTGTCATATCGGCGTGACAAGTTCCATGGGATATATTTTTTTAATGGGTCGTGTCAGGTGGGCCACACAACTGGAATAGAAAAAAATTCTTAAGGGACTCGTCACGCTCAAATTTATTTAGCCCATTAGGGCACCCCAACCATTTAATTTGGGATCTAATGCAAATTGACAGTCCCCATGGAACTCGTCACACCGGCATGACAAGTTCCATGGGATATAATTATTTTAATGGGTCTTGTCAGGTGGGCCACACAACCGAAATAAAAAAAATTCTTGAGGGACAGTTGTTAAACGATCGAATTAATTATCAATATTAAAATTTACGTATCAAAATTAATGCTATCATGATTCAAATAATCACAATTAATATCAAGTACAATTAAGTATCAAATTTTTAAGATTAATGATAATAAATAATATGAAATTATATGAAATTAAAGCTAATAAAAATAACGAATAAAATAAAATATTAATAATATCATTAAAAGTCAAAGAGTAAATTCGAAAATTAATTATCAAAAATAAAGTACAAAGTATAGAAGATTTAAAATCTAGAAGTGTAAAATCTAAATAGGGGAAAGAGAGGGTGTTTGTATGCAATTTTACCATTTAAATTAAAACAAAAGTATGGGGGTAGTAATGTAATTTAGCCATGTCTATTAAAAAACGTAATTTTGTCTAAAATATAAATAGGAGAAAGTGCGGGGTTCTCATGAAATTTAACTATTCGAAATAAAACACAAATAGAAAGGTTGGAATGTAATTTAACCATTAAAAATTAAAACTACCTTTCACCTTTGTTGAATTCAATGGAAACGGGCACCGGCAGAAGCAATTCAATGTAAAACAGAGGGGCGTTGGCCACTTTGTTGGGTGATTAATGGGCCACGATGAACTGAGTGACGACAAACGGCATTGTTGGATTTGTAATATAATATTTTTCGACAAGTTTTTTAGCAAGTTTTTCGGCGAATTAAAGTCTGCAACGATGACTACTGCTAATGGTCTTTTTTAATTTAAATAATTTATAAATCCTAATTTTAAGTAAATTAACTTACATAAATTAATTTTTTTTAATAAAAAATCATGCTTTAAATATAATTCTATTAAAAGAAAAACCAAAATTTAATTAATAGTTAATTTTACATAAATCATCATACTTTTTAATATTTATATAATAAGGACAATTCATTTCCTTGTGGTATGTTTCGATACATCGTTTCAGTGGTATGTTGTGGTATCCGACATACGCTGTAAAATTTTTCATTTTAATAGTAAATAATTTTATTCTGAGGTTTAATATTATTTTTTTTGGATAATTATATTTCATTACCCAAGAAAAGCAGGAAACATGTTACATAAACAACAATTTAACTCATGCTAATATAAACATCAAAAGAAACAACCATTACAAGTGAACCCTAACCTTAAGAAATACCCCATTTCACATAGAGGGAATCATTCCTCGGATCAGCTCTGCTGATAGCCCATTCTTTCAGTCGAATCTGAATAGTTTCTTTGATGTCCTTCAACACATCCCCCACCAGTCTAACTTTGCCCCCAAAAAGCCTACTATTTCTCTCCTTCCAAATGCCATACACATGACTAACCCAAGCAAGCTTGAACACCCTCACAAGGAGAGATTTCCCTTTACAATAGTGAACAACACATGCCAACTCCCTATCCCAACAGCTAACCCTACGAATTACACCACACAAAGTAAGGATATCACCCCACAACTCCCTCGTAAAACCACAATCAAAGAACAAGTGATCCCTAGTCTTAGCCTCAACATCACAAAGCACACATTTATCATTTTCAATGCTTAATTCCATTCTCAAAAGTCTTACCCAGGTAGGAAGTCTATCTAAAATAGTCATCCACAAAATGATATTATGTTTTGGAATACATCCTGGAAACCAAACCAGGCTATACCATGGAACCTTTGGAACCTTGACACGCATATCCTCCCAAATCTTCCCAGTTTTAATATCACTACCTGAATCAACAAATAGATGAGAAATAGCATGCTTTAATTTCAAAATGCTTCTAAAACTCCAACTGGAATTAATAAGAATAATCATCTGCCAAAAAATCTGCAATCCTAATCACATAAGCATGAATCCAAGCTAACCAAAGGGAACCTTCATTAGCCAAAATGCTTCTAATCAACTGCACAATACAAGCTTTATTCCAGCCACCAAAATCTTTTACACCCATCCCCCTTCAGATCTTAATAAACAGACTTGTCTCCAATTTACTCGAGCACCCTTTGCAGGCATATCAGAACCCTTCTAGCAAAAACGAGAACATAATTACTTGATCTTTCTAATTACCATTCGGGCAGAATAAGCTTCCTGCACCAGTAATTAGCTATGCTGAATAAAACAACACGAACAAGTTGTAATCTGCCAGCAAAACTGAGATGCCGATTAGCACATAAATTCAACTTTGACTTTATTTTATCAATAAGGCTTTGGCAATCCTTCACAGCAAGTTTCCTAGTCACCAATGGAACACCCAAATATCTCACAGGGAGACTTCCCAACTTAAAACCAATAACCTCTCTTATGGAAACACACTGATTAGCAGAGACACTAGCCATGAATATCTCACATTTATTAGCATTTAATCTCAAACTCGACATGGAATAAAATATATCTAAAACAAATTGCACTCCAATAATAGAATCAATAGAACCTTTACAGAAAATGAGCATATTATCATCAAAACATAGGTGGGTGAAACCAATCTTTTTACATTTAGGATGAAATTTAAAAATCCCATTTATAGCAGCCACATTAAGTAGACTAGACAGAACGTTCATAGCAAGAACAAAAATATATGGCGAGAGAGGATCCCCTTGCCTTATACCTCGATCACCCTAAGATAACTAAATAGGTTGTCATTAAACACCACAAAATACCTGGGATTTGTAAAGTAGGCTAATGAATTTCTCAGGCAGCCCCAAAGCATGCAAGATGACACCAACAAACTCCCAATTAAGAGAATCAAAAGATTTTTGTAGGTCAATTTTTAAGGCACATCTCAGGGAAATATTTCTCCTAGCATAACCCCTTAAGATCTCTTGAGCAAGTAAAGTGTTACCTATTATACTCTTCTCTTTCACAAAAGCATTCTGATTCATGGAGATCATACCAGGAAATACAACAACGAATCGACTCACTAAAATTCCTGTAACAGTCTTATAAATCACATAGCAGTAAGATATAAGCCTAAAATCCTTAACCATATTCGGGTTAGGAACCTTAGGCACAAGAACTACAGTCGTTGTATTAAAAGTAAGGAGTATAGAAGAATCAGCAAAACAATACCTGATGGCAGCCTTAAAATCATCACCCACTATAGGCCAAGATCTTTTGAAAAACAAGAGTTATAAACATCCGGCCTAGGAGATTTATCATTCCCTGGCCCCCAAATGGCCTCCTTAATCTCAACATCAGAAATATCCATGCATAAAGCATCTGCAGCACCCATAGGCAAGGAATAATGAATAAGGTATTTAAGCATCCTAACATCACAACCCTTTATATCCTGATCAACCACACCCAACTGATTTCTAAAGAAATCAACCACCTTATTAGACATGACATGAAAAGAATCAAGTCTAGTTCCATATTTATCATAGAGAACCCGAATTATGTTACTTTTCCTTTTACTAGCCACCATAGAGTGAAAAAACTGAGTCCCTTGATCACCATCTCTAATCCAATTAACCTTTTCTTTTTTGCTTATAGAAAAGCAACTCTATCTCTTCAAGAGTTTTCAATTCACGCTCAACTTGTAACTCAACATCAATATTGATGCTAACAACATCTGAATCCAAATTAGCCAGTTGAATCCTAACTAGCTCCTCCCTCTTTTTCTTAACCTGACCAAATATCATTAAATCGAGCCCTATTAAGCACTTTGAGACATCTCTTCAATCTTTTAAGCTTTTGAAACAACACCTAAGCTGGATTCCCTACAACCGAGGCCTGCCAAGACTCCTCAACAACAGTCATAAACTCTTGATGTAGTACCCAGAAGTTAAAGAACTTAAATGGCTTAAGTCTAGCCACAAGAGCTTCTTTGTGCAACCAAACTAAAGCAGGGCAATGATCAGAATCTCCTAGGGCTTGGAATTCTATAACTGAATCAAGAAATGCTCCAATCCAATTGGAATTCACAATAACACGATCCATTTTGTGAGCCAGATAAGTCTCTTACTGCTTGTTCGACCAAGTAAAAAGAGGACCAGTAAATGGATGATAAAAAAGATCTAGATCCTCCATACAACTTTGAAAATCATAAATGTCAGCATTTACACCCAAATTAATATGGACCAAACTTTCTTCAGAATTCAAGATGATATTGAAGTCCCCCAATCAACGAAGGCAAAGTACCCACCATACTTTCCACAGAACTCAGCTGATGCCAAAGCTTCATACAAACACAACCCTCATTAGAATCATATACCGCAGTGATCCAAACATCCTTTCCACCAAAAGAGCCTTTGATAGAAACACTTTGAACAAAAACAAAACAAACAGAAAAGCTCAAACCCTTCTGCCAAAGGACCCAAATATGACCATTTACAACATGACTATAATTGCAACAAAATTCCCAATCACTAAACCTATTATTCAAAATCTCCCTTGATTTACCCTCCTTAACCCTTGTTTCGAGAAGACACAAAACATTTATTTGACAACTAACAACCCAACTCAATACCTTTACCTGTTTGAGGGGATTGTTAAATCCCTTAACATTCCAAAAACAAACTAACATGATAAAACAGTATAGAAAGAAGCACCACCCCTATCCTCCATCTTTTTAACTTTATCAACATGCTCTTTCTATTTCAGCTTCATGTCTTGGACTAATTTTGCCACTCCAAGAGAAGCACCTCTATGTTTTCTACCAGAACTCTCAGTAGGCATCACCACCAAACTATCAGAATCAATAGAATTAAGAACCTCAAACTTATTCTTCGATCCACCTAAAATACCTTTACCACAATCTTAAGCATGTCTGTCTCTCCCTCTTTTAGGAGGAGGATTACTTTCCTACTCATGATTCGAAGTGATAACCTCAACAACATCATGACCAACCTGATTGACCTCTGGCACAACCACCTGACCAGAAAAAATTACATCCCCTCCAAAGCAAACCACTACAACATAATCATCCACTGCAATAGAACTTTTAACATCAGAAACATTTTCAATGTTTAACACATCTTTCACAACCTCACAACCACTCACAGAAGCACCAGGATTGACCTCCTGCACAATACCCTTAACTCTCCATAGTTGTTCAACCTTTTCCCCTTGAGGATAATACTTCCCTGAATGGCCAAATCGACCACAATCAACACAGGAAATAGGCATTCAAGGCATAATAACCTTAATTTAAACCACTGATTCATCACACAAAAGCACATCAACGTGATACGGGATCTTTGAACCTGCAGAAATCTCAATACAAACATGAGCATATTGAAGTCACTCTCGAGCAGCCGTGATCGAATCCATATGAAGAGGCCTATCTAAGGCACTTGCAGTGTAACTAAGCCCTTTATTTGAGAATAACTCCAAAGAAATATTTTACAATTGAATCCAAACTGGCATTCAAACCAAATCAAAATGTAACTCCTTCGAATTTGGCTCTTACTTCCTAAGAAAAATTGGTTTATGTTGAACATGCCAATGACCATTCTTTAAAACCCAGACCCTAGCAGATGAATTAATGAATAAAAAAACAAACAAGTTTGAACCAGCTAAGATGACCTTAACCGGAGAAGATTCACCCCACATTAGCTCAACAATCTTCTGAAAAGATCCAAAATTCGGGGCCAAGCCAATGAATTGCCCAACCAACACATATCTCCACTCTAAAATCCCTTCCTCAAACACATATCACAGTGGCTTCACCACAAAAGAACCCTCAACCTCCGACGGAGGGAAAAAATCAAGCTCCTGCTCATTCACCACCGCAAACATATTCCTCCAATCAGCAGCTACCTCACCAGACATAGCCCAACAAATCCCCTAAGAAAATCACACCAGAAATCAAATGAAATTACAAAGAAAGAAGAAGGAATGATATCACATTCAATCTCTATTAGCCCAGCTAACATGCACTGAGAGAAAAAACTTAACATGCGCCATTTCAATGATGTTGAGTGTTTAATATTAATATAATATTAACAAAATTAAATTTTATTACTAGAACGGTAATATGCGAAATAAATAATTATTCCATACACCAGTTAAAAAATTATTCTACAAATACAGTTCTGATGTAGTTTTGTGTCTTATTTAGAATTTAAGATTATAGATTTCAATGTTTTAGGATTAAATAGTGATGGTTTAGATTTAGATTTAGATTTAGATTTAGATTTTAGATTTTATATGTTAGCCTTTAGAGTTTAAAATGTATAATTCACTTTTTAGATATTAAAGTTGAGAGTTTAACGACATTTAAATATGCTAAATCACATTTTTTTTTTATTGATTTAAGATAAGTATAAGGTAATATATGTTAAATGATATTAAAAAAAAATTTCATAAAATAATTTATTCTCTTATTAATAAAATAATAATTCATTCAAAAACAATATTAAATAATAATATATATCAATACTTTAAATGGACTCGATGTATGTATAGACACTCTCATATTTCTTCTATTATTAATATTTATCAAAGATGGGAACTTTTTTACTTGAATATATTTTATTTAAAAATACTTTTTATTCTTATATTACAAATAATTTATTAAGATAACATTTTTTTGTTACGTAGGACAAAAACATGTTATGTGAAAAGCATCTTTAAAAGTGTCCTTAAGAACGTGTCTTTTACCTACATGACAACAACACAAACATATGTTAGACTGAAATGAAAGAAAACGAAAAATATAGTCAAAATATGAAAAAAATAATATATATTTTCAAAAGAATAAATGCACACACAAATACATAATTGCAATTATATTTTTTTTAGTATAACCATCAGTATCCGATCTATTAATTGATTAATCTAGATCGGGTACTACAGAGGCAAAGGCGACCCACCCAATCTATTTTGTTCCATTTACAATTATATTTACGTGTTTAAATATAACACTTACACACTCATTTATTGAATGTGTTATGTGTATAATGCTATATTTAAACAGTCACGAGCTTATCAAACCTCATATTAATTAGATATGTGAGTTTTGAGTGTTTAAATATAACTGTTAAAACATGTATTTATTGAGTGATTGAACCTAAGGTTAATATATGTGTTTTGTTGTCATTGCTTAGCTTATGCTCGTGCTATTTGGATAAAATTCATTCATATTTTTACTCTATTTTTTTTCATTTTAATCCAGTTTTAGGATTCTGACCATTTTTGTCACATTAACAGAAAATGATTCTTGCCAAAAAAAAAGTCTTCTATTTACCTAACATAAAAAGATATTAAATTAGAAAATAACCTGAAAGAAGTGTCAAACTTTAAAATAGGATATATTTAAGTAAAGAAAACCAATGATAGGATAATCTTGATTTGTGGGGTGGTATTCAACTGGTGATTTTAATGCCCCGTCCATATAGGATTAAATGTTTAAACTTGGGACTGTTCACATATCAATATGCATGATCATGTTATGTCGATGGTTATTTTGGATTTTGGGAAATGAGAGAATGGTTGTTTTGATTCCTTGGGTGAGCTTTTGATTAATCGTGTCAATTTAAAAGTCTGTATGGAAATAAAAGAATTTTATTGGTCGTATCGTTTTAATTTAAGTGGAGTGTTACCGGTGAATAAGAGAATAAATGTTGGTTGATATTTTATTGTTATAAAGAGTTGTCATTAGAAAGAAGAAAGAATAAAGAAGGGCAATTATAGGAGTGTCGGCCCTCATTCCAGTCATGTTACTTATAGTATAACTTTTTAGTGTGCATGTTAGTCATATGTGATCATGATTATGATTTTTATATTAGGTTGATAAAGTATATAATTTGATAGTTAAATTTTGAATTTAGTTCTTCTCAATATGTTAGAAGTCTTGTCTAAGTACTATAATTGATTGATAGAGTTTTAACCGTTTTTAACATAAACATAGATCCGAAAGTTTTCGGAGACAAAATAAGAGAAAAAATTATAAAATTTCAAAAGATAAAAGAAATAAAAAAATATAAAAATGTTTACATTATGTAAAAATTTAAAATCTCAAATAATTACCGTGGGTCCTACCTTCTATACACCATGTCCACATAATTCGTCACTATCTACTACGGGAGATTTCAGTGCCCCACCCATAGACGAGTACGTGTTTAAAATATATCAACTCGGGAAAAAAGTATAAAATTGAGACAGTTCACTTATCAATTTGCATGACCAAATTGAGGTTGGTTTTTGTCACCGTCGCTTGCATATTAAAAGCTCTGTTAGGCGTATCCAGTTTGTACTTCTCTACTGCAAGTTCGGTCATCCTTCTATCATCTTAAATAAGCAAGTTTCACCCATAGATTTCCATCACTTTCCCTAGCAAATTTTCTTGCTCTCAGTCACCATTCCATGGATTTTCATTTCATGCTAACGCTTTCGTTGATCGGGTTGACGCTTTTGGTGGTGTTAAAGAACAAAGCTCGAACAAAAAGGCTTCCTCCAGGTCCGTGGAAGCTCCCTATTATAGGCAACCTACACCAACTCGGTGACTCACCCCATAAATCGATTCAATGGCTATCCCGAAAACACGGGTCGATGATGTTCTTGCAACTCGGCGCCGTTCCGACGCTGGTTATCTCCTCCGCCGACGCTGCGATGGAAATCTTCAAAGGCGGCACCGCCATGATGTCGTGTTTTCCGGTAGACCTAATAATTTATACGTTGCGAGGAAGTTTAGTTATAACTTGAACAGCATATCTTTCGCTCCTTATGGGGATTTATGGAGGGAGATGAGGAAGATAGCGATGGTGGAGCTTCTGAGTTCGAAGAGGGTCGACTCGTTCCGTACTGTCAGAGAAGAAGAAGTTGCAGCAATGGTGGATCATATAGCTTCGACGTCGAGCGCCGTGAATCTTAGTAAACTGTTGATGTTGTTGGCGAACAACGTCGTGTGTCGGGTAGCTTTCGGTAAGAAATACGGCGGTAAGAGCAGATTCGACTCCGCGATGCATGAAAGCCAGGTCCTCCTTGGAACGTTTGTC